CATAAACAAAAATCTTCCCCCACCTTGTTTAGTTTATGCGAAGAAGAATTAAGACAGTTCTCAGGGCAAAAGTGGGTTCAACTTGGTACTAGCAAGTTGTACCTAATAAAATGTTAGCTGAGAGCATTTGTCAATGCTTATGGTGCTTATGGCAATAGTATCGCTGTTTTGGGATAAATGTTACATCATCAATTAGTGAGCGTTTTCTAGATCTTAAGGTGGCAAATACTATTTAGTCTCAGAGATATACAGAAGGTCTCCTTTAGCATCATGTGACATTTATGTCATCATGTTTTAACCAAAGCCACAATGTTTTAATAAATTTTAATGTGCAGTTTTGTAGTATAAGTCAAGCTAGTAAGAGTAAAAGAAAAATTCAAATTCTACTCTGACATCCCTGAGATCCAGCATTACATTATCCATCCAAATGAGGTCTATATATGCACTAAGCTAAACTACCTATTGACAATCTACAAAGTTTAATAAATAGCTGCACCATCATAATAACCATCCAGATAATGTTCATAGATTAAAAAACAATTTTTAACCAATTAGTAGACTTTATTTAATTTTTCTGCAACAATTAACTCAAATGTAATCAACTAAAAATTCATAATTTATTAACAAAGTGTTATCAAGTGTTTGAAAATTGAAGCAAATATATTTCAGATCAGGACAATTTGGCTAGCCAGAAAAAAAACAAGTGTAATTGACTTTGACTTGACGTGAATAATTACTCGTGAGGATTTTTAGTATCTTGATAATAATCAGCCTGTTTTGTTTTGTTTTTAAACCATAAAATGAAGACATAGTTATTGTAGTTACATCACAACATCTGGGGGTAGTTTTCACCAAGTATACACTCTGAATAGGTGTATGAGACCTGCATTCATAATGGATGGCAGTTTTTTTCCCTCATTTCTAGAACCATTTGCACTTGAAAAATAGATGTTACTTGAATTCTCGCAGTGTGATAAATATGGGTCTTCCAGCAATTTCCTTGCAGAAATTCAATAAAGTTTTATGATGCACTTCAGGTATTGTTGGTAATATTTTTCAAGGAGTGAGCCAGCTTAATGTAGCAGAAATAGCAGGGAAGGTTTAAAATAAATGGGGGGGTTTTTTCTGCAAGCGGGAGATGATGTACAAGGCAGCTCACTACTTACAAGCAGGTAATGTCTATAAGCTCCTGTTTGCACCATGAGAAAATGAAAGCTGAATCTTAAAATGGACTGTTCAGTGTCCCCTGACACCACAAGCACACTAATTAGCTGATGGTAGCAACTAGTGAGCAAATTAATACAGTCTTAAGAGTTTGCACAAAACATTGGTCTGGTGATTCACTCCCCCACCCCACACCACAGATTGCACAGACTATTGCATAAATTGTGGAAAGTACAAACAGTGAATTCCAGCTTCTTACAGGCAAAAGACTACAACGTGAAAAAAAACTACTTCTTTCAATAGGATGAGAAAAGCCAACATGCCAAAGTATGCAACTGGTTTAAAGTTAAAATTAGCAACCATCCTTTTCCATGTTTTCCACAATTAAACACATTTAAAGTCAAAAATCTCAAAGTCAGATCCCTGAACTACACAAGGAGGAACAAAAATACCAGCGGTTCTAGGAAATGACTTCATATTAACCTCAATAAACCAAATGATCCTAAGCAAACTAACGAAAATAAAAGAAATGATTTACCAGGCATGAAACCTGCTGTACGCAACCTTACACCACGTGTGCCGATGTCTCCTTCTTTGTTGGACAGATTGCACGGTTCTGCAAATAAGTTGATGATTCACTTTCTGTCTCACTCATCTGTTCCTTTTACTGTCCTTTAATAGGAATCCTTTGCACTTCCTCTGTACAGTGAAGAAATAAGTCGTATGACCAGGTTTCTAAGAACAAGTGCAAACAAGTGCATCACTGACTGATAACCATCGTTCGTCGTACAAGGCTAGGTTAGGAGTAACCAACATTTTGGTTTGAACACACCTGACAGCACTGTGTGACCAATTCATACAAATCTAATTGTTTTAATTGTTATTTATTCATTTTATAACATCATGGAAGTTTTTTTGTACATCAGTTATTTTGTATTGAATAACTGATTTTCTTTTGGCTAACGGTTTGAAAAGTTTTTGATGACCCTTTTTAAACGTTTTACCTTTAATCAGAGTTATAGCTTGCTCTACCTGTTTGTCAATTAAGCAAACAACTTTTAACAATTTACTTACATTTAATTATTTTGAGGATTTAGTCTTCACTTTTAGTTTTGGTAATTAACATCGCCACTTACACTTGTTACGTCACACGTTCTAAGATTTACCACAGTAGTCTAAAAACTTTACATTGTAATGACGTGGCGGGAATGAGAATTGGCAACTCTGAGAGTACTCGGGTACAAGTTAGTCAGTGTAAAATCACCACTCTTCCACATCAAAAGGAGTCAGTTCGGATAGCTCAGGCATTGGACCAGGACACCTCCTGGGTTCTTCTTGAGGGAAGTGTTTAAGGCATTTCCAACTGGGGTCCCCTACATGGGTCCTCCCAGTTGGACATGCCCGAAGACACCCCGGGACATGTATAAGAGTTTCAGTTTCAGTGTAACTCTATGAGCTCCAGGTGTAGGCAGGGGAGAGGGAGGTCTGGGCTCTCTCCTCATACTGTTCCCCCCACAGCCCAGAAACAGATGAGCAGTGAGAAAAAAAAAAGCAAAAAAAGGATGTACACTAGTGGATTAGCAGTTTTCTTACTTCCCTATTAAATATTAGCCACTTACAAAAACTCAGTCAGCTATCCATTTCATTTCTTTATTACTTTCAGCTAGTATTCAGTGTTCATTCAGTATACAATCAATCTGTATTCCTACTGTGCACACATACACATTTAGATCAGAGAATACGTCACCACCAACATACACGTTTTCATCCCCGATACAAGTCATGTGAGAATGGCCTACTCTAGTGATAAACACAAGGTTACCTTTGTTATAATACAACATATGTGTGCATTTAAATAGCTACATCATGAAAAGATATATGAACATTGGTGATTCTAGAAAAACACATTCAACAGTGCAGATGTAGAGAAAGTGTGTTAAGAAGCGTCTTGTCACCAAGTATATGTGTATGGTAGGCAGATACAGGGAGGGTGCTGCAGCAGGGTAAATGGTGGCAGTATTGATCTCCGATGCTCTTTTATAGCCCTGTCATGTCAGTTTAGCACCTTGGCAACATTCGCTTTAAAGCTGCATCAATTCTGAACTCTGACTTTCAGCAAAAGGCAGATAGAACGAGACATTTAGAGTGAGGAAGACAAAGGACAGATAACCAGAGAAAAGCAAGTGGTAATTGCTACAGCAAGAACTTAATGTACCTAACCTTAAGTATGAAATGAAAACATTTCACACTTAACAACATACCTGGATTTAATGATGCTTTTACTTTTATAAAAAAAAATCATGCTTGAGCCACTATATAGTAACATCAGTCACTAGAGCAAACATACTGAACAACATATAAAAGATATGAGAATCCCAAATGTGTTTCCATTACAATGGTTGGCTTGATTAACTGACACCTGGTATTGATAACATCTCGCTGGAATGAATGGTTTTGAAATCGGCCTCCTCTGACGCTCCAATTCTGCGTGGTGAAGCAGAAAATGAACCCTCTCTGCATTATCTGACACCTTATGAGTATTGGATTTCATCGCTGAAGGGAAAATGTGCTGTGTCCACTACTACAGCACTGCATTTGAACTCAAAGATTTCAGCAATATGAACGGCTCTGTGAACACTGGGCTGTTACACTTAGGGATGAGTACTGAGGCACTGTGTGAAACTGGTAAAAAAAACACCATACTGGTTAGTACCATAGTATTGCTGCTGTTGTTATTCATGCAACCTTAATTCTTCCTTATACAAAGCCACCAGGGTCGAGAACAAATGTAAAGTTGCTGTGTGTTTACAGCTCTCTGATAACTGCTGATCCAATATTTTAAGACAACAGAGCTGCATGAATGAGAGGTTCCTTTACCAGAGCCTTGATGGGATTTACTAAACTAAAAATGCAATACCTCTGGTTGCAAAAAGCGACGACGCTTCACAAACAATTTCCTAACGTCACCAACATTCTTTATACTGTTTGTGGTTACTACTCAGGACAGAGTTGGCTTTGATAAAAACACGTCTTTAAATGTTCCTAACTCAGATTCTCAGTGAAGAAAACACTGTCACATGTTTACTGGTAAAGCATTTTAATGGTAGGTAGAGTGGTTGTTGTATAGTGTTTTTCTACTCTACTTGACAACTCAAAGCACTATATACTAAAAACCTCAGTCTCCCATTCACACAGGCTTTTTTCCTATGCAGGAGCTTTCTATCCAACATTCACACTTTGATGAATGTATCAGAAAGCAAATCAGTGAACAGTACATGGTATCAGGGATACTTTGACATGCAGACTGGAGCAGCAAGGGATCAAACCACAAACCTTCAAATTTTAGCTCCTCCTGAGCTACAGCCAGCCCAAGTTCAATCAAAACCTTCATGGATAAAAGCCAACTAGACTCTTTGAGCACTCGACCTAAACAAGCTTAAACATGTAGAACTATCTTTTCACCTGCTTCCATCCAACACAATCCAAGTGGATATGAAGTGTGTGTCTCATGAAGGCTGCTATAGGCTGATCTGCAACTTGGAACTGTAAACGTCCGTGAGCACTTTTCTCTAATAGTAACACTGTGATGCAGAGGGCGTGTTTAAAGGGCTGGTAGAGGTGCTGTGGCCTCACGGGGTCCATAGCAAGCTAGAAAGATTTGAGTTTGCCTGTTTCAGTGTGAGCTGCCATGACAATTCCAGAAAATTTATTTTGTGGTAATAAACTACATGTTCACTGGCACTACAGGAACATTACCAAACGACCTCATATCTCATTAGAATCAGGTTGAGATTCCATTCAAAAGTAATAATTTCAGACCAACTTTTTTTACTGACCGATCGCAGGTGCAGGCGACCAGCACGCTGAGCATGATGTAGACGATGAAGGTGAAGATTACGGCTGTGATGGTGCCCCGGGGAATGGAGTAGCTGGGATTCTTCAGGTCACCTGATGGATAATGCAGGTTTTATGGTGTATGTTCTGACACAGGTAACCAGGCGGCACATACACAACATCTGTTCACTTACCTGACATGTTGGAGCCGGCCATGATCCCCGTGCAGCCGTTGAACATGACGGCGAACACGGTGGCGAAGGTCATCGTGGTTTGCGTTGTGTAATCTACAGTGTAATCAGCTGCAGGAAGACATATGAACAGATACAGCCCTGGAGTCAATGCTTTTATCGAAACCACCACTCTTCAAAGAAAACTTCAATCTGCTGCACCTGTCTGCCCATCCAGCTTCATCATGTTTTGGAGCATTAGAGAAAGCAATCCTTTGTAAAGCTTCTCTGCTGTTTACAGAGCGCCATCAAATCTATCACATGATTTATTTGGGAAAATTCAATTTTGCAGCTCCAATCTGTGAGACATCCATTCTCTGTCTTCTCTATTTGTATCAGACAAAACAATTGGGAGTGCACATCCTATCTAAGAACAGACAGACTTGTGATCACCGTTCAGTGATATAAAAGCTCAGTGTCAATGGTTTCCTGGCCTTTGCTCTGTATAATCTCAGTGAGGGCGGATATTTGGAGCACGCATCTGCTGCTTAAAACTTCTGTCTGCAAGGGGCAGCCATTTAGTTAGAAATGCAACAGCCATTGCACAGCAAGCACGTGTGAAAAATAACACAAAATTCCAAAAAATTTTTGATTGCAAACTTGTCATCTAACGGATATACACACCGAAAGCATTCATTCTAAAAAAATGAACCGTGAAAAAAAAATGAAGTTCACATCAAGCAATGATGTCAAGCTTGGTTCGAAAAAATAAACGCTGCAAATTCATCCAGCGACATCATGCAGTCGGTGTGAATGGCTGCATTAATAGGAAAGTCCAAAAAATATTTCTAATGCACAAATTATTTGCACAGATTTAACATGTTTGGTGTGTAAAGATCTTAAGCAGAAAGGAGGCAATCAACTGAGCTGCTGAACCAAGGCCCAGGATAAGAAAGTGATGCACTATTTTGAACTGTGAGGCACGCAAAGCCACTATAGTAGGCTCCATAAATAAAACCTTGCCGCTTGGAAATGAGCATGACGGGGTCCCTTTTCAGGGAGGTACACAACAAATAAAAGCTCAGTACTGATGTTGTCACTGATGGAATAAAAAGTCAAATGTTTTGCTGCAGAACAATTTTCAGTCAAATCCTAGCACAACCTTTTATTTTACAAGCATTTGTGCATGTGTGTGTGTGTGTGTGTGTGCGTGCATGTGTGTCCTCATACTGAAAACAGGGATTATCCAAAGATGTGTGTTTAATAGCTGCCACGTGTGCATGCCTGAGTTAGAGCAATTAGCTCACAAATCATGTGCTTTACAGTAAGGCAGTGCAAACACAGAGGAGTGCTTGGTTTGGCTTCTGTGAATATTAAGATCCTGGACACATGTATAACCTCTAATTACGAAGCTTTCCTTTTCAGTCAGCAGTAAAATGAAAAAAAAAAATTTATGTGCTTTTAGGAAAGCAGCCACTGTCAGAAGAATGACACCATTTTCTCCACAACAGCGACTTCCACTGGTTGGTGTTTACACCTTCACATGTTTGGCTGAGATTGCAGGGAATAGAGTCAAATCAGTCCAAAGGTAATAAAACCTGCCGACCAGCATGTATGAAGCTCACTTATTAACATGCTGCATTTCATTTTCCGAGATTTTGGAATGAAGAAAAAAAAAGAAGAAAAAAAATCACTTAAGCCGAATACACAGTGGAAGCAATTTGCTGATTATGCATCGCTTTGAAGCTGCCAGTAGGTCTCTTGCGGACATGCAAGGCTTCAGCTGCCTAGGTTACCCCCTAATGTATTTACTAACAAGTAATACGTCAACTGTTTTCTTCACTCTGATTGGTAGTCTCTTCACTTGCCCATTGGACCTGCGCACATCGCGTCATCAGCAGTTATTTTGCCCATAGTCGCTTGAGGTCACCTAATAGACTTCACTTTCTATGGTCTCTGATCACTGTGAATCATTCCCAGTGTTTTCCAGATCAAACAAAAAAACTCATTTTTGTTCTTCCCAAATCAGATCAGTATGGATACATTTTATTACAAAGGTAAAACTGAAAGAGTATCTCTGTATGGAGATGTTTTTATTATTATTATTTTATTTTATTCTTTCATATAATAACATGAAGACATGACCAAGTGGAATGATTGACCCACGATTCTCATGAATGATTAAAATGATCATTCAGATTTTCTAACTTATTTATAAGGGAACAATTATCTGCATTTGCATTCTTTTACTCTTTTGCAGTTGCTTTTGTTGCTTTGGAATATTCACATTTGAAATAACTGTAACCCCCAGCCCGACAGGACACTGGTAACCGGGTGCATGTCAACAGTTAATATGTTATTAACTTAGCTGATATTGTTCTGTGGGAAAGAAGTTGGTATATTTTTAAGTGCTTGATGTGTGATGTTATAATCCTGTAAATAATGGGCCATGAAATTAATTTGCTTAATCATTACATAAGACCAACAGAAGCTTTTTATAAGGAGTGATATATGCAAGACAACATCTTCCTGAAGAATTATTCCATGAAACTGCCAGGTAACAAGTTAAGACTACAGGAAGTGACAGTAAAATTAAATATAGCAATGAGAAGAGTGGCTGTTCCTGATGAAAGGGCTCGGGTAATAAGAAATGAGTCATCAAGGTAACATTGTGCTAACACAAGTCTGTTACCATTTGAATACTTCTAATATCTGCAGAAAATAATATTTGCACTAGCGCTAACTAGTTATTTGTTCCAGTTAGCTGGTTATTACAAACAAATGATCTGAAGAGCAGGTTCCTGAGTGTCCGTGCTCACAGCCACCTCTGTATATCTAAAATATAACCCTATTAGGGATGCACTGTCTCTGACACGATGCACATCCAAGTGTAGAAAGAACAGTCTGAAACTGAGCATTCTGAAGTATTTTGGGTCCGACCTTGATATTTGAAATTTGGCAATCAACAATGGCAATATTGGAAAGAAAACCACCGTTATAATAGTAAATCTATGAAAAAGATAAAGAAAAATTTGTTAGAGCTCTCCAAGGTAAATTGCTAAAATGCTTTGTGGGCTAAATCAGGCAAACCCTTTGATTCTGTCTGAGTAAGTAATTATTATGTAATGAATGTATCTTTAATGCTAATCAGTTCTGTCCACACCTCCTGCTATTCACCTTTGTCCCTTGCACAGTTCAAAGACCACTTTACGTCATCCAGAGCTGAGCTGGTTATTATAAAATCTTATATATAGCACTCTGGCTTGTTTGAGCTTTCTTTCATAGACTGTAAAAGATGTATGTAGATATCTTCAGGATATCAAAGTGAGGCCAAGACGAAGTTCTATAGTGACATAGGATCAAGTCAATAAAGCCAGAGTTCTTCCACACACAGAGTCCAATAGAGTGGTCTGCGACCAGTAGCAAGTGAATTTTTCTATTCAGGGAAAACATCTCCCTAGCAACCGGGGCTAGGGAAACGTTCACTATGGCAGACAACTCTTGAGCAATGTGCACATAACGTTATGACTAAAAACTGAAAGATATCTACTGGAAGCAGTGTTCTGATGAATTGATGGCTTCAGTCCGTAGTTTCAAGTTTTTCTAAATAGGACATCGTGGTGTTTTTGTGGTAAAAAGGATAACAATCGCTGGGTGAGCTTACCCAGTGACTGACGAGTAGCTAAATTTACCAAAAAGTTTAAGGCTTCACAATGGGCCAACCAATATTTGACATCATGGTGGCTAATTCTTTTATAGGGAGTGTATGGGTATTATGCACAATGTACACAAGCAGTAAACATACAGAAGAGCATAAAAGACACTTATTGCTCATACCAACATGGTGGTATAATTTTTTTATACTTTTTGACCCAGCAGTCCTCTAACTTACCCCATACGTTCCCAAGCAGTGTCTCCAACTTGAAGCCTGTAAAATTGGCTGTGGTGGGGCCCGTCGCATTGGGCTTCAGGTCAGGAAGCGTGATAGACTGAGGGTGCACGGCGAAGAAGCTGATGAAGACAGTGATCAGGACAACAATAACAATCACAAAGATGAGGAAGGTGGTTTTGGCATAAATGTGGGCTCCCACCAGGCACACCAGCAGGCACAGTAGGGCAATCCCAGTGCCATAAAGCAGAGACCACCAGTAGCCAGATGGAAGAACCTGGTAGTGAGAAGTGGCTACATTCCCAGCTAGAAGGATGAAATGAGAGACCCATTTTAATAATGTTAAGAAAGCTTAAATACACCACTCCCAATCTTAATGTGAGTTTTTCAAACAAAAGTACACAATTATGCTAATGAGACAAACTATGAAAGTGAAAGTTACCTTCAGGGACTCCAAATGTGGACAAGATGGCTTCAACCAGACCGAGCACCATCAGAGCACTGCCGCACACATTAGCCAGGAAGAACATGATGCCGATGCTGCCACCAAACTCTGGTCCCAGTGCTCGGCTGATCATGTCTGAGTGCCATTAAGGCAAAGCACACTTGTTTCAATCATTCACATGTATGTGCATTTCTCTACGGATAGTAGTCTAATAGTTTCGGGCAATATCATTACCTGCCTTGTAGTTTTTTGGTTTATATTAGCTTAGCTTAGCATAAAGACTTCAAGCTGGGAAAAATAGGTAGCAAGCTGTCCAAAGACCAGTTAGTGAGTTTTGGGAGTGCTGGTAAGTGGATTGTGTTCCTTTTAAACTGAGGCATACTGGCTGTTAACACCCACTTCTAACAACATTTAAACAAACAGCCATAAAAACAAAGTAGACATGAATACTGGGAGGCTAGATATACAGCAAAGGCAAGAAGCGGCAAAGACAAAGGAAAAGGCTTACGGTGAATTTATAGTGACACCAAGATAAGATCAAAAGACTTGCATCGATTGGCTAGACAGACAGAGACTAATCTGAAAAGGACATGCGTTAGAGTGATTAAGGACAGAGGGCATTTCAACAAGTGAAAAGTGTGCATTGAGAAAATGGAAGGAGTACTCTGAGGAGCTGATGAACCAAGAAATAGAGAGAGAGAAGAGGATGGATGGAAAAAAGATGAATTAGGAAGTGCAGAGGATTAGTTAGGAGGTAGTAAGGGCTGCTATGAAGAGGATGAAAAGTGGAAAGGCAGGTGGTTCAGATAACATAGCTGTGCAGGTATGGAAATGTTTAGGAGAGAGGACAGTGGACTTTTTACCAGGTGTTTCACACAATCGAGGAAAGTGAGAGAATGCCTGAGAAATGGAGATATACAGATATGTAGGGTGAACAGGTGAAGGGCAGAGCTGTAGCAGCTGCAGTATAAAGTTGATAAGCCATGCTATGAAGATGTAGGAAAGAGTTGTTGAAGCTAGGCTAAGAGGAATTTTGAATAATCTTGGAAATGCACCATTTAGAACCGTGGACATGGTCATGGTTGGAAGGCTGGATCCTCCCAAGTTTCCTCCTGCCAAGTCAGTGCCTCATCTAGGGTCATGGCACAAATAAAATGAGAGAAAATCCGAATTGGAATTGGAAAAGCAAAATTGCTAGAAGGCTTTATTAAGTTGCCCAGATACTACAAATGAACCAAAATCCATAGTGTTATTCTTTCACAGTTACCTTCAAGCAAAAATACTTAAAATGTAATCCTGGCTTATTTACACATTTAAGCATAAATGTGGCTATAATGGTTCTATTGGTCAGGACCCAAAATAAACATGATACTTTAAAGGTGTCTTTAGTACAAATAATCGCCAACCCTAGGTCCATTCAATGTCACTGACAAGTCTTGAACTGCACCAACATACAGATTATATTTGTTTAACTAGTTTTTGTTCTTTTAGTGCCTGCACCACTGGCACTGTTACAGTCGTATGCAGATGGCGTTTCTGTGTGTGTGTGTGTTTTAAGAGGATACAATAAGCTCCCCCGGCATCAAGGGCTCCATTGGTGGAGATGGCGCAGACAGACAGCACGGTCATACAGATGATGATGTAGGCCACAACATACATGGCAATAGCCTGGTAGAGCCCAGCCTGTCCCACTGCAAGTCCTAGTCAGAAAGCACAAACATGGTGAGATGAAGCACTAGAAACAATAGAGACCTAGAAAAATCTAGGATCTCTTTCTCAGACATGGTTTAATTTACCCTGCGGCACCTGAATCAGAAAACCCATAAATTACGAGCATGCAAGGAAAAAACAGATAAATTAATGAGGGCAAGATGAAAAGTTTTTTAAAAAATTCATACAAAAGTCAGTCTGTATGGGTGGGGGTTAGGGCTGAACG